GGCACACCTTAAACCAGGAGCAGTCCAGGATGTCTTAGCATGTGAGGAAAGCCACGAGGTACAACAAAACCCACTATTAGAGTTTATCAAGAGAAGGAACAGAGGGAAATGTGCTTAGGCCTATGGAAGACGGTGCTGGGAGAGAAAGAGGGAAAAAAAAAGGAAGGAGAGGGGGGAGGAGTCTGTGACCTGCTTTTTATGGATCCCCCCCCCCTCCATGCCCTGCCCCACATGCACCTATGGGCTCACATAGCATAGATTTCGTGTTCATGCAGCACATGGATTACTAGGACATAAGGGATGACTAAGCCTCTTGCTTGGCTACTGGACAGCGCATGTGCAGTCATGTAGCAAGCGTGGGGAACAGGATGTATGTGTGATGCCGATGCCCCTTTGATGTGAACTCCCTTGCCAGGTGTAAAATCCTGTCTGTTAGCTAAGGACTCACAGTGTCCCATTATGGTGCCTGCCAGCATCTGTGAAAGAGGATTGCGGCACGGAGCAGCAGCTGGGTTCGAACAGCAAATTCGCACGCCACTGGAAGAATCTGCAGAAGACACGCGTTGCGAGGCTTTGAAACCTCTGATTTTTTTACCCAGAAGGAATTTGATGTTTCTGTTTCCTTAACTGAACTCCCAGGTCTTTCCTGGCTCCTTTTCCAACTTGCTGATCTCCTTCCCACAGCCAACTGCAAATTTATTCCCAACAAATATTTCCTGGACTCATAAAGTGAGCCTTTCAGATGTAAAGTGGGTCTTTTTCCTGTGTATTTGTTTCTTTATTGTCTATCTAGATAGAAGAATTAGAAAGTAGGAATACTATGTGTAATAGCATCTCTCTGGTGGGCTTATAGTTCATGAAGCCTTTCTAAGACCTCACACTCTCTTGTTACAGGAACATGACATAGAAACACTCCATGGTATAGTCCACGTCACCATAAGGGGCTCCCTGAAAGGAAATAAACCAGTAATCCTGACGTACCATGACATCGGCCTTAACCGTATGTATTTGATTTTGCACGTTCCCCTTTTTAAAGAAAATATTTACTTTTGTTTCATGTGTATGAGTGTTTGCCTGTGTGTATACATGTGCACTACATTCATGCAGTACCTGTGGAGGCCAGAAGAGGATGTTGGATCCTCCAGAACTGGAGTTACAGGTAATTGTGAACCATCATATGGATGCTGGAGTTGAACCCAGGTCCTTTGCAAGAAGAACAATAAGTGCTCCTAACCACTGAGCCATCTCTTCAGCCCCAAACAGGTTTCCCTCTTTAGCATGTATAATTTTTGTATTAAAAAACACAAAAATAGCATTCTAGTAAGACAGATACATCCTTCCTCTGTCTTAACAACTTTTTAAATTAATGGCAGGTTAACATTCCAGGGGATTAAACAGGGTCAAGTATGTTGAAGGGACTGAAATTACATTTTACATTTGTGTCATGTCTTCAAAAGGATAGATTATCTGATAAACTGAGTAAGAAATTAGAACTGAGGTCATATATAAATAGAAAGAAACAGCATCTCTCTACATAATCCTGGCTGTCCTGGAGCTCACTATGTAGATCAGGCTGGCCTTGAATTCACAGTGATCCGCTTGACTGTGTTGAAATTAAAGGCATACACCATCATGCCCAGCCTTGAAATCTGATTTCTTTTTATTCATATCCCAGGTTAGAAAATTCCAGAGTTTAAGGGTTTTGAATTCAGTAGTAAAAGTCTTATCCTACAGACTTTTCTACCTGGTATAGGTTGAGCTGCCCTAACCTAATAATTCAGAATCTAAAATGCTATAAATTTGAATTGAGTGCTGACAGAGAACACCTAGACACAACGAAGAGCCAGCAGCACTACAGATGCTTAATGTGTGTGCATATTCTGGGTCAGTCCCCACGTCCCCCAAACAGCAACGATCTTAAAAATTACTTCAGGCTATGTGTATGAGGTATATGTAAAACTAAGTCTATTTCATGCTAATCTTTCGGCCAATCCCCAAGATGTCTCATTACACATCTACAAATATTTCCAAAGCTGAAATCCATACAAATCCACTACTAAGCATTTCAGAAGTGGCTACTCAACAAACAGTATAGAAAGATTTAGGCTCTAGCCATGGGGCCAGACCCTGCAAACCGGTAGCCTTCATGCTGCTCTGGCTCTGAGTGCTGAGTTGAGAGCCCAGGGCTGATCTTTAGCATGAGAAGTGATGAGGGCCCGACACGAAGAGGGTAAAAATGAAGCAGCATCTCCTCCTTGCACATAGCAGTTCTGACAAAGCCCCATGTGATGACCAGCAGCTGAGGATGTCCTCTAGCCAGGGTCAGGGGAAGGTCAGGGTCTCCTCATCAGGGAGAGGAAGAAGGTGCGTGGAGACAGCACTGTGGGTAGATGACTTGTGCACCACCAGGAAACCCAGCCAACCTCCTCAAGGTGGTTCCTACTCTGAACCCACTGCTAGAGTTGGGAAGCAGCTGTTGTCCAGGCACTGAGGGGCCTCCTGTGCAGTCTCCTTGAGAGCTCGAGTCACAGGCTTTGTGCAGAGCCCTGGCTCAAGTGGACCGCTGCTGAGAAGGGAGTGAGAGGAGAGTGGCCGGCACTGCTGGGCAGAGGAGAACTGGGGAGAGCTGGAGAACTTGTGATCCACAGCTGTTCTCATCTCATAGATAAATCCTGTTTCAATACCTTCTTCAACTTCGAGGATATGCAGGAGATCACCCAGCACTTTGCTGTCTGCCACGTGGACGCCCCAGGCCAGCAAGAAGGGGCACCTTCCTTCCCAACAGGG